GGGGAACATCCTCTTAAAACTACAGTCTTCTAGCTTTTCAGGTTCTCGAGTTAGCAACTTACCCCAAGAAAAACTTTGGTGAACCCGTACTTGGGTACCACGTGTACCCAGAGTCTAGGTTTGAGCGCAATGAGACTAAGGTGAATGGGAAATATCCTCTTAAAATTACAGTCCTTTAGCTTTTCAAATTCCCGAATTACAAACTTACCCCAAAAAAAAAAAAATTCACGGGCCCGTACGCGGGTGCCACGCGCACCCGAAGACTGGGTTTGAGCTCATTACACACTTGGACGTGGAAAATCCTCTTAAGATTTCAGCATTCTAGCCTCTCAGATCCACGAGTTATGAACTTACCCGAGAAAATTTTGGCGGGCCCGTACGCGGGCACTACGCTTACCCGTGGGCTGGGTTTGAGCTCATTAATACCTATTTGGACGGGGGCATCCCCCTAAGATTTCAGTTTTCTAGCATTTCAGACCCCCGAGTTACGAACTTGCCCGAGAAAAGTTTTGGCAGGTCCGTACGCAAGTACCACGCTGATCTGGGGGCTGGGTTTGAGCTCATTAATACCTACTTAAACGGGGAACATCCCATTAAAATTTCATTCCCTAGGCATTTCCGGTTCCCGAGTTAGCAGCTTACCCGTAAAAAACTTTGGCGGGCTCTTACGTGGATAGTAGGTGGGTAGGACCGCCTATTTCGGGGATGGGAGCCCGTAAACGCATATAGATTAAGTTCCCAAAGTTTCAGCCCTGTAGCTTTTGTGGGTCTCGAGATGAAAAATCGGTACAGAGGCCCAGCGCACATACAGACACACACACAAACACACACACACACAGACACAGATACAAACACACACACACATAGACAACCTCTCGTCAATATGCGTTTTCCGCATCGCATAGCTACAAAAAACGCATAAAAACTGAATAGGCCCTGGGCGTAGTGCACCATAATTTCCGAAGATTGAAAGCCAGCCAAATGTTCTCTGAAGAGAAGACGAACGTATCTGAAGGAAGTAGAAGTAGCACACGCAGCACGATTAAGAAAAGAGGGGTAGAGGTAGAACGGAAAAATGGAAGATAGCGAAAAGTAGCAAGGTACTACGTTTTTCCTGCCAAACTGCATTTGCAAATTTGTTGGGTAGTTTTGAGTGTGCTTTCTAAGTGGGCGCCATTTTTGGCCAACAACTCAAACCGTCCACTTTCCCC